ATATTAATTTTATATTCAGGTTCTTGGTAGTTTTGTGGGTATGATTTCATTCTATCATGTCACCAACTGATAAGAAATTTTCATATAATGAGCCCTTACATCTTATTAGAAAATAGTATTTAGCAAAAGATCTGGACATTCCATTCAGTTTCTGGCAATTTTTTTCACTATTGTGGAGAAGTCTTTTTTTATTTGAAGTAGATAAACATGTTGGCATTTATCGCTAGACTTTATATGTATGAATAATCTTGATTTTTAAATTATTTTAAAAATTGGTTAAAGGTGAAAACAATAAAAATGTGATTCAGAGGACATCAGAATGATTATATATTTCTGATATGTATTTGTGCACATATTTAACAAAGAGACATGTGCATATTAGAACTTTTGTAAAACAGCTGTGCTTCTGCTGGTTAATGCTCTGAGCTAGAAATAGTAGGAATCTGAATAAGGCAAGCCTATTTTGGACCCTATGCAAAGGTTTTTAGATATTGAAGTATCAAGAGAGCCTTCATATTTTTGTTTTTCATGAATGGCTTCTCTTCTAAAATGGTCCCATTACACAGACCCAAGAATAGAATCAGAGTGAGATGTCATTTTGTTTTTGTTTTTAGCTCAAATATATACCTTCCTTGGCCTTTTAAAATTGTAATGGGTAAAGCATTTGAATGTATCATTAAAAACTTGATAACTTTGAGCAAAATAGACATGTATAACTCTATAGAAATCTTATTTTTGTGACAATCCCATATGTACAGCTTAATCTTGTAATTTTTGTGATGTTACTGGTTTGCCCCTTTGAAGCTTAGCCTCAGAGATGATGTGGTGAAAATTACAATCGATTGGAACAAGCTCCAGAGCCTCTCAGCATTCCAGCCTGCATTGCTCTTTAGTGCACTTGAGCAACACATTTTATATTTACAGGTAAATTTCTTGTTAGAAATGTTAACTCAATATTGAAAATAGAAATTAATTGTGGTTAAATTTGCTGGAGTATTTGTCAGTTCTATCTTAACAGTGTATTAATAGTGATACTAATAAAAGGTTTCTTACATCCAAATTGGACTTAAATCTGTTAATTTCAGTAGAGATCAGGACAGTTATGGCAATATAGCCCAATAGGCCGATATGGGTATGAGATTGAACAAATGCAACTCTATTCAACTCTAAACTTGCACTGAAAATTCAATACAGTTCCATCTATGGTGGGTTATAATTAAGCAATAAGACACGGCAGGTGTGTGTCATGCTATGATAATGATTCCATGCCTTGGGTGAGTTTGGAGGCTCATGGAGTGCTTTCAGTGGTTCAAGAAGTGGCATTATCCCAGCATGACACATCCTGGAGTGTCTATTGCAATTAAACAGTTTCAGCATAGTTTTTAAAAAGAAAGTAATTTCTGTGACATTAATGTCTCATCTTAGTTAGTAGCCAGTCACTATTTTATCTTTTCTTTTTCTTAGCAGTTGAAAATAATTCATTCT